CTGCAGAAGATAATGAAAAAAAAGACAGGATTTATTTTGAATAGAATTGTTTTAAATTTTGGGACAATATGGTCTGATAAATTTGATAATTTGAGATTTAAATATGATTTCCATACGACTTTAAACAAGGCGAGAAAAGGATAAAAAAAAAAAGTACAGTAAGTACATCTTTTTTAATAAAATTTACTGAAGTAACTGTTACTAATTACTCCCCTCACTAAATAAACACATGTAGTAAAATAAAGAGTGAAAACATGCTGATCATGAAGCACAGACATCCTCCAACTCACCACTAGATCTTCCTCTTCTTCTTCCTCCTCTTCCTCTTCTGGAGCATCCTCCTCCTGATCAATGGCAGGAAAAGGGTTTAAAGTTCAAATTAAAATTTAAACAATGATCAAAGAGTACAGGGTGGGAAATCGTATTTAAATAAAATTGGCAGTAGCTCTTCATTAATTATTCAGAATTAAACATAAAAAAATGTGTACATCCCGGTTTATTACATTTACTGCATTCATTCAAGCCTTGATTAATAGAATCAGTGTTTAGTAGCTTTAATGTTAGTTTCACCATGTTTTCAGGCTGACCCTTCGCTCATGGAGTCCACAGCTGAAACACAACCGGACTTCCTTTAACACAGGTTTTCATATGTTCTTTACCTCTTCCTCAGGGTCTCCATATGTGAGCATTTTCCTCTCAAAAACCATTTCTGCGACTGTTAAACCAGCTAACCGCTCAGTTCAAGCTGCGCTAATGTCCCTGCTCGAGGACGTGAGGTCGGTCACACTCCAGGAAACGACTAGAACGCTTCCCTCCGTGTGAAGCCTTCTATTGGTCAAAAGTTTTATCGACGTCAATTTAGTCCAATCACACGCAGAGTTTGCCTAAGCCCCACCCAAGTGATTTTCAGTACAGCGGAACTGTTTCTTTGGAGGACGAAGAGAGAACCGGAGGAAAACGCTGTTGCACACTTCGTGATGGCGCTCTTCCTGGAGACCTCAACAGTTTTACTGAGGAGAATTAAAGACATTAGACCGTTGACGGCCAAACGACACCGAGTTAAAGGCAAATGGGTAGGTCACCGTAAGGCGGGAAAGAACGAACTTTTGTTGTTTTTGGTTTGAGAGACATTTAAAGAGAAGCGAGTCGGTGGGTGCGCACCATTTACCAGCCGGTGAAGCGTTATACCGGGCGGGTGGAGTTTCCACAGCGACAGCGGCGGAAAACCGAACATGTAACTGGGATATATGGGAGGCTAAAGTTTATATCCATAAATTTAAAAATACTATGACGAAACCCTCATGTAGTTCTTTCTTAAATGAATTAATTTATTTCTATATGTCATCCTCTTCCAAGAACAAAAATGCTTTTAAAACTTTATGCTCTAAATTCAAAATATTTATGTAATCCCCTTATATGATTCTATGTCTTCACTTTACTATTTTTACGTTTATTCAGTTTTTTATTTATAATTACTATTGTTCTTTACTTTACTTTACTTTACTATTACTATTTATTTACTATTACTTTACTATGAATTTACTATTCAAACCTCTGGTGATTGTTCTTTTGAAATTATACTTATATCTTCATGTAGTACAAAATT